ATTTTATTTAAAATTAATTTTACTATATTATGATTAAATATAATTCTATTATTATTTTTTATTTTAATGAAGTTTAATATCTTTCACATTATTTCAAAATTTTTGTGCTATGCAAATTCTTTTGAAATATTTCGCATCTATAATCTTGCTGATAACCCACCTAGGAGGTAAATGCATATTTTTTATAATTTAAAGTTCTTCTCTTACGAATAAGTGTTTTGGACCATTATGTAGCTTGTAGAGAACTGGCTGGTTATTTTTTTTTAAAAATAATTTGATCAAAAAAATTTTAGGAGACCAGTTACAATCAGTAGCCCACCTTTTTCAGCCTTCTAGTTCACCAGATTCTAATAGATGCCGAACTTTAACATTAGATAATAGGAGGTGTTCATCATAACCTATGGGCCTTTTGTGCTTGACAGCTGGATCTGCAAAGATTTTCTCACCTTCTAATGATTTTTTTACAGCTTCATTAGGCAATATGTGTATTAACTTTGTAAGAAAATCATTATATTTATCATTGTTAATATGAAGGCTGACAACCCACTCTCTAGATCTATTAGTCAATGGTAAATATAAGTCTATAGCATTTTGATGAAAAAAGACAAGTTTTTCAAATTTTTGGTAATCTTGCTTAGTAATAGCTACACTTTGTTTAGATTTAGCATACTGAATTCTCACACCATGTCTGAGAAATAAATCCCTATACTCACTTATATATTCAGTTCCTTTATCTACAATTAAAACTTTTGCCCAGCTAAATGGGCAATTTGGATCATCATAAATTTTCCGAATTTCTCTAGCCATTTGTGTAGCTGTTTTATCAATCAAAGTGAAACTGTGCTAATATCTAGTTGCAATATCCTTTATCACTTCTTGGTATTTATAAGTTTGATTGCCAACTTTATTGTGAGGCATAGGTGTAGTATTAGACTGATGTACTTTATTCAATGTTCATATATTGTTAAAAGAAGCATATTAAATAAATTTTGGCTAAGGCTTATAAATCTGATATAAGGCCTGTTTGTTAAGCCAATTTTTTATTATAGCCAAATTGAACTCATATCCTGCCTTCTTACAAGCATTCCATATTTTTTCAGCTGTTCGATAATAACCTTCAGACCTATAATAAATTTTTTGCAAAGTAATCTTCCTATTCAAATCATAGGCCCTTTGTGGGTAAATATAAATTACTGGTTTTTCCATTCTCTGTTAATTCGTTTTTCTCATTGTCAGGATTATATAGTATAATAAAAAATAGTTAACAATATATATTTGGACATGAACTTGTAAGTAAACAGCATTATAGTAATAAAAAACATAAAAAAGTTACAACAATTTAACCAAGAACTCTATGAGGTAGTATCGCAATTAGTGGAATCAAATAGGAATTTCGAACAGTGTCTATATATTTTAGAAAGAATTATCAGTATACAGGAGAAAAGAATACAGTTTCTTGAAGAAGAATTAAATAATGCTATTGAATTATCTACACAAGACAAAAAAGAATTGTTAGAAGAAATCTCAAAACTAAAAAGAATCGTTCATAAGCTTGAAGAAAAAAATAAAAAGAAAGACAAAAAAATCTTAAATAAGGATAAGTTAATATTAGAATTTGATGAACGTAAAACAAAATTAAAAAATTATATACAGGAAATATCAAAATCTGCAGGTAATACCCCTAAGACACAAGATTATACAACAAGATTAGTAGATGAAAATAAACATCTTAAACGAGAAATAAATATGATAAGAACTAATCAAATAAATAGAATTAACAAAATAACTCAGCAAAAAAACATATTACAGACCTTTTTTGTCAAAATTTTGCATTAGCATTATTAAGATATCGAGATAGATTAGAGCTTATAAATATATGAGAGGCATTAGAAAATGCATAAGCATGAAATTATAATGAAAATGAATTTAATTCTGATGAAAATTCTTAAGATAATTATACTTTTGATTTAGATATAGGCACAATAGCTGAATTGGCTAATGCTATAGACAGATTCTTAAATGATACAACAATATGTAAAACTGTTTTAACAAATCAAATTAAAAGATTAACATAATCAATTCGACATAAATATGCTAACCTGCAACAAAATCTAATAAATGAACAGTGAAATCATGATATATATAAGCAGGAGTGAGATCAGGCATTGTAGCAATTAGAAAATGAACAGGCATTTAATAAATATTGGCAAGACTGAATATGTGATAGATATATAAAATAGAAAAATAAAACTAAAAATGAGTATATACAAATACAGAACTGTCAAAATGAAAAAGCTCTTAATAAATTTTGGCAAGATCAACTATATGATCAGTATAAAAAATAGAAGAATAAAACTAAGATGAATGCCAAATAATTCTGAATCAAAATCAGAATATTTTAAATTTACAGCAACAAAATTTTGCATTAGTAAATAATCAGCAAAATCAACTGATGGCATTACCCGTAGGATTTGCACAATCAGAATTCCATGGTGGTAAAGAAGATCATGAAGATTTTATAGATAGGTTCATATTATATATTACCTTAGCTGGAGTAAATAATGATGCAAATATTCTCACTATATTAGATCGATCCTTAAAAGGTAAAGCGAGAGAATAGTATCATAGAGAATTTGATAATAAAAATTGGGAGTTAGAAAATGTACTTGATAACTCTGGTATAGGTGCAACAATAGCATATATTCGTGATGCTAATGCAGGAGGTATAACGGGTATAGTTACTTCTTTCCCAAATGTTCTACTTGGACTTACAGGTGCACAAATTATCCCTGCTCAAAATGTTACTGAAGATTGGACAATAGCAAGAGGACACCCAACTAATGCAGTACCAGTTGCACCAAATGCTAGAGGAGGTATTCCTATTATTCTAGCAGGAATACGATCTGGACAAAGGCTTTCGTGGATAAAAAAACATTATCTAACTGCTAATAAATATGTAAAGATGTTAGAAATTGGAGCATTAAGACAAGGCATATATGAGAGTGTACCTTCATTCTGGGCAAAAATTCAGAAATATGGTGATCAACTGGGTTATACTCCAGCACAGAAGAAAACCCATTTCTTATCTGGAATTAGACCTGATATTAAAGATGAAATTTATAGAATGGGCCAAACAAAACCTATTAATGATATTATTGATAGTTTGGCAGAACTTGAATTACATCATGAAATATTACAACAGGCACCATCTCAACCTCGCCATGCACCTATTGCTTCTGCTATTCCAGATGTTATACCTCAACAACCAGCATTTCCCATAGCTGATATGCAAAAAATGATTCAAGATGCATTTGCAAAACAGCGAGCTGAATCTAAAGCTGAGATAGAAAAATTAAAGGCTGAACTTCAAGCACAA